GTGGACAATTTGCTAATACACTTACGCCCAAAAGAGTTCAGCATGAGCTTCGCCAACGCCCTCAGACCAGGATTCTTGACAATCTGTCTTGGATCCAGCTGAATACCTTCTTTTGTTGCGTAGTCAGCGATGTACTGCTCCTTCTTCTCGTCGGTGTCACATTCCGGAGGAAAGCCACTCGCCTGCAAAAGAGAAAGGAGTAATAAGAAACTAATGATGTGACAGTATCACACATGTCATGAAACCTTACCTCTTGCTTGATTTTGAAGAATGTGTCAATATAGTCCTCAAACAGTCAATCTGTATGCTCGGGGAAGTGCCTTTCTCTAGTGCTTTTTGAAGTTCCAAAGTCACCCACGTCCCATGAAGTGTTCGCTCGGCGTCGCTGTGATGACAGGGCTCTTGCTTAAGGTTATCGGCACAGGTACGACATAACGGGAACATCAATTTACCCTGAGTACGGTAAGGGAGGACGGGGTGGTATGGGGCACGAGGGGGAAGCACAGAACATTTCACCAAACCAAAGTAGTCACTGATAGGTTGAAAGTTCTCAGTAATAATCTCGGGATGGCCAACAGGATACTCGCTGTATTTGTTACACCTAAAAATTGCTTAACAAGGTTAACGACAAGCACGTTTGAGTTAAAAGTTGCTAACATGGGTAGAGGCTGCAGAATCCACGTAGCGGATCTTCTCTTCTGGCTGGACGTCGTAGTAAAGGCGTTTGTACGACCACCAAAGAACGCATGACGAGGTTCTAGAGGCTCAAATATTTCGAAATTGTCGAAGAAATCCTTCATCTCGGGTTCGGTGGGAAGTTGACGCTCAATATCACACGTCCAAATCTGTACGACATTGTATCCGTTGTCCTTTAGAAATTGGATTTTCTCTAGTGTTCGCTGCTTAAGATCTTGCATGGTCATATGGTTGATCGGATTCACGTTATCTCTGGCATAACACCTTTCGCATCGATGCCACAGGCACCCTTGAACTTCCCAAACAGTGTTCGTCTCAACGTTGAAGCCATCGACAAGGTACTTGCTAATGCGCTGCTCTCTATGGTTGCCGGATTGTAGCAAAATTCAATACCCACATTTTATATTCAATACACACATTTTATATTCAATACACACATTTTATATTCAATACACACATTTTATATTCAATTATTCAATACACTCATAGAATATTCAATAAACCCGTTTTATATCCAATATTTACAGAAATATATTCAATTAATATCTTCGCAAAAACATTAAATAACCTTGTTAAATATTCAATACAACATCTGAAATATTCAATGTGTGTATTCAATATAAAATGTGTGTATTGAATATAAAATGTGTGTATTTAATGTAAGATGTGTGTATTGAATATAAAATGTGTGCATTGAATATAAATTGTGTGTATTAAATTTTTCTACATTCGGCAACCAATTCAAAATATATTCAATAGCTTTTGACCAGCGGTATACCACCAAAAAATAACATCCACCACTGGTAATTTTTAAAATACATTTCCGTAGAGTTGCGGATTGCTTACGGCAATGTCAAAAACATGAAATGGAACATCTGGAACAACTGGAACGTCTGGAACAACTGGAACATCGAATAATTCAGTTTCTGCACTTTTTTGAGCAATTTGGTAATGTTAATGCCGATTTACGCCATTTAAACTTGTAGAATCAGTCAGTTTTGTCGAGTTCACGAGCTAATTATTTGTAGAAAATGAAAGGTAAAGGCTTCTAAATCCTGTTATTATTTTTTCAACAAGCGCTATATATAAATTAAACTATGCCGATAGTGGAATAGTACTTTGCAGGTTTCATATCTTCGGTTCAGTGAATGCTATGTAGATAAAAATACCACCATTCGATTCAGTGAAATAATATCTCCTAATTCCTAACAATAGTTTAGTCAAAGACAAACATTATAGTGATTTATGAGAGTTGTATGGTCAAGCGATATTTATTTCAATAAATTAATTCATAACAGTTCGAAGAGTGTAAACAATGTATTGCAAGCCCAGCCTAGACCTAGGCCTTCTAGTCTTATTTATATTTTTTATTATTCAGCGCTTTTTCACATGAAAAGACTGGGACTAGGTGATTTGGGGGCGTGGCGGAGGAAGCAAGCCTAGAAGGCCTAGTGGATTTCCCAACAACAAGGCCAAAACTGCCCTGAAACTGCCCTGGTTGCGAAATGCCCAATTGTTGCGTTCTCAAACAGAATTATTTGCAACTTAACGGCGAATTTAAACCGATAAAGGTAAAATAAACTCATTTATAGTATAAACTTAATATTTTTATTTGTGTACACGTCTAGAAAATCGGGGTTTTTATCATAAAGTTCGAAGCAACACTATTATTTAATATGTTGACAAGGTGAAGCATAAGCACAAAATGAGTCAAAATATATACCAAAAGTAGAATCTTTCATGAAATTTTGTCTTATACACAA